TTACTTGGAATTTTGTGCCCAAGCAATTAATTAAATCAAAGGAGAAATCTAAAATTAATTTCAGATTTGAGGGATTAAAGGAGCTACCTAATTAGGGGAGGAAATTTGGGGGAGGGATTAATTCAAAGCTATTTGAATTTGAATTTAAAAATCTCTCCAAATTTTGTCATCCTAAATTAGGAAAGCATTCAAAGAAATTGATAGAGGCTAAGGGCGGATGAGGGAGGATGGGCGGCGGTATGGGGGTGGTATGAGGTGTGGTGGTGGCGCCAAGGTGGGGAACGGGAGGAGGAGCCCCGCCCAAGGGTCGGCGGGTTTATGGTGGTGGTCGGGTAGGGGAGATTGAGAGGGGCGGTGGTTGGAGAAGGCCGGTGGTGGTGGGGAGGAGATGTGAAGAGATAAGAAGAACAAGAATTAGAGCCACGAACCTAGGAATTCACCACGGTTGACGGGTATTGCTTTCACCCACCTAGGATCTCTCATGAACTCACTTAGGATCAAACAAAGAAAACTAAATTTCATTTCAATATTCATCATCCCCTCTCATACAAGATGAGGACCTTATATATAGGCCTCCAAACAATTAGAAAAGAAAGACAAGAATGCCCTTGGGGCTACAACTCAAACACAACAGATAAAGGGTACAATCGTCATAACTAATAAAAGAAACACAAATACAAAATAAAAATAAAGACTTCTGAGCAAGGCCGTCGCTCTGCGCTGCTTCTGATGATAGACATTTCAGAATTTTCTACTGATGTCCTCATCAAAAAGTTTATGTGCATTATGTATATTCATCTAAAAGCATGCACATGCATTATGAAAATACACAAAAAAAATGTAAAAAATATGCTAAAAAACTTGCACGACACATCCCATTGTCAAAATCAATATTCGACCTCATGTGCTATGACTAGCATGCTTAATGTTCAAGCATAAAATTTGAGAATACTGTGTGAGCTATCAATATATTGAACTAAAATTCTTATTTTAAAAATTATGCAGTTACTCTTCAAAGTCTACCACTATCTTAAAATTTGAAAATACCTTTTGAAAAACCAAATACACTTGCATGTGCTCTGACCAAATATATCAACTCCTAAATTTGATATTAGATAAAATTAGACGAGTTAAAATACAGAATAAGTTTAAATTATATTCATCTCAAAACATGCAAGTGCATAGTGCATATGCATTAAAAGACATAAAATACAGTGTGTAAACATGCCCTTTAAATCATGTATGAGTCCATAAAAATCAAGTTTTTTTGCATGTGCTCCAACAAGTGTACTATACTTTCAAACATAAATGAGAATACTGCGTGGAAGAGAAATCAAATGAACTTAAGAACATACTTGATCCTATGCAAACAAATTGGCGAAGTTGATAAAGTCGGAAATAATAAAATGAAGATATTTGATATAAAATATCAACCAGAGGAAACCTTAATTCAAAAAAATGCCCCCAAATCCAACAGTAAATCATTACGAGCTTAAATCTCGAAAACATATAAAAAACCTTAAAGTTTCACAACATATATAAACATTTCAAGTGAAAAGCAATGCTAAAGTAAAAATTCATCCACCATCTGTAATTGGTTGATGAGGATGATAAATTTAAAAATAACATCAATTCACAAATGCAAATATCTTATAAAGCATATAACTATAATTTATTCTCAAATAGTTTCTAGTTAGTAAGCATTTAATCGATAATGTTGCCTCCAAATGACATCATTGATAAACGATTATAATCAAGCCTTCTAACCAGATGATTTTACCATAAAATGACATCATTGAATTATAATCATAAATACATCACACAAGTTCCCTAATGACAAAAAATTTCATGAGTAATAAATCATAGGATGTACTTAATAGGGCATAAAATCTTTTGTCAACTAAGGCCAACTCAAAAGAGTTCGCTTATACAAACATTCAACATATGTCTACAAGATTCTCATAGATGAAACAACCCATAGTTGCCTACAAGGAGCCTCCAGCCAAATTGGGCCTGGTATTTATGCTGACAAAGACACAATGTAGACCAAAGTCTATGTCTCTATGACAACTAGATATAATGGAATAATATGATCATGATCGAGTTCATCATCCTCCTCTTACCATCCACTTTACATTTATGCTGGTAAATTTCTCAATCCAAAATAAAATTTGCTGCTACTATACGCTAAATACTTAGTTTCTAATGATTAGCTTTAATCAAAAGTTTTTTCTAGTCACCATAAGGGTAATTAACTATATATAAGGGTTTGCGTCTATGAGAAATTTGAAATCGTATCATAAAATCATCATGAACTGAGGGCGAAGTTGTTAGGTAGCATCTTATCTGCAACATAAAAATCTCTTAGTAAACTCAAGGCATAAATTTTTGGAGCGCACATCTAAGTAAACCTTAGAAAAGTTCACACTTAATTTTAAGGATATCAAACATATATTATTATATCAAATAATTTGTTAAGATGTATATGTTACATGAGAAAGCTTACAACCATTGAAGCTTAGATGGTTAAAAGAATTCAACAAGTGGAATAATAGCTCAAAGTCGTCAGAAAAGTCATAGATTATACTTCATTTTATATTTTCTTAATACATATATAAGAGATTGACAACTAAGCATGTTCATGGATAATACATTTATTTTTCAAATCTCACTTAATTTGGAATTGAATTGATCAACTTCATAAGGGAGGGAACTATGGCTTTTTGATTAATTTCCAAATATTTATAATCAAAACAAATAAAATTAATGCTGAAAAACTATTTGCACCACTTACTTCATTATGACAACATATGCAGGTGCATGGTTTCATAATTTTATCACATTTATTCTTTTCTTTTGCATTTTCAAAGATCAGTTGAATTCCTTAATTATTTTTGTCAGATCTTCTTATAGTGTAATAAGATCAAAGTCTCTATCTACCCAGTCGATCATCTATATGTCCTGGGTAGAAATGGATATAACGGCTAGTTTTTGCAATAACTAAGCGGAGTTTTAGGCATACTTTCAGGCACTAACCGACTAGTTTTTGCACAGATTTTTATTTGGGTTGATGGGCTATAAATGCTGAATATATTGTATTTACTTTTAATAAGAATTCTTTGTTGTAAATAATTTAATTCACATTCTCATCAACCCTTTCTTAGCCTTGGAGCTTTTTCTATGATTTTTTTCTTGTTATGTAAAGGATGGCTTCAATTATAAATTTTTTTAAAGAAATTATTGTCATATCAAATTTCTCTTTATGATCACACTCTAAAATACCAAATTAACAACGGCATGATAAGCTCCCTTTGGGCTATGTTGTCATGCATAAAATGTACGTTTTATTGAATCATAAGTAGACGTACAACAAAGCTCTAGTATTCCCTATTCCCTAATGACTAAGACTTTGTTTGGAACGGCTTTCTTCACGCTTCTTAAAGCATCTTTCTAATAAAAAATTTTAATTTTGTACTTAAAAACTGCTTTAAGAATCAGCAAAAAAGCCGTCTCAAACGAAGCCTAAGTCTACGAGTAATGAGTCATATGCACACTTGATAGGCTATACAGCCCGCTTATATGATCAGGGTGGGTCTTGAAATTATCCCATTAAATAAATATTTTTCCAGATCTACAAGGTCTTCTTAGATAAAAACAACACATAATTACCAACAAGAATCCTTAATCAAATGGAGGGTCAACTAACCATCTAATTAAGTAGATTTAGACCTATAATAACCCAAAAGATTGAATTTATCATTATTTGTGGTCTTGGCATATCTATCCTCTCCCATATAATCACAATAGATTTAGCAAAATGAAAAATTGTATTGATGAAGATCATTTAACTTAGATGCTAACTTGAATGACAAATTTCTCTCATAATTCAGAGAGATGATTAACTATGAGAACTTACACTCAGAAAAAAATCTCAAGCTCAAAATTTAATTGTTAGAGAGTGAAACTTTTTTAAAAGTATTTTATCTGTTATCTTATTCACCTCCTGAAAAGTATTGAAGATAGGGGTAATAAAATTCATTCGATGATAGGGGTAATAACATTGAAAAAAATATTGGAGAGTAAACTAGATACTTTTGGCATATAAAACAAAGGGCTAAGATGAATTAATAAATGATTATAAAAAATTAATATTAAATAATAAAAAAAGAAATTATGATAAATTGCGAACAATAAAGGCAACAATATTGAAGATAAATATTACAAAAATAAAATAGAATGATTTTGACACAAATAAAAACATAAAGATGTATCAATATGATGAGTAGATAAGAAATATTATTGAAAAAATAGGATAAGTTGAAGATAACAAAATAAAAGGGCAATAAAAAAATTATAAAATAAAGTTTATACATCATAATAAACTCAACAAAGAATGAATGTAAAATAACAATTAGTAAGACAAATATGAATAATTAGGATTAAATTGATGATAATAATAACATATTAATAAAGGTGGGCATTGACAAAAAGATAAAAAAAGACATTAACGGCTATGAAAGCTCACTGGCGTATAATTGTCTGGCTACAGAGGTCTCATCCTCCACTAGCGAAGTAGAGACTTTTTTTTTTTTTTGGTTCTCCATCAATTTTATATGATGGTCTTTTCTTAGAGTACAAAAATCTTTACCGTCTCTTGGAAGGACTAAGTTCATTTGATGTAGTTGTATGAATGTTGTATTTTTGTTCTTCTATAAGGAAAATGTTGTTTTTTTTGTTCTTTAATCTGCTATTTTCAGTAGACGAATTTAGCCATTCTTAACATTGCATCGTCATTCTTATCATGTTATTCTGCTCCAACATGACAGAAGGAATAAAGTAAAGCTTTCACAAAAGTTGTCCAAGTGAACCTATGGTTATATTTCTCTTTTCTGAAGAAGAAAGATCTTCACTTTCCATATATTTATTCAATGAAAATGAAGTTAGGGAATAAGATGTTGGCAAAGGATTTTACCGTTTAATAAAACTCTTGTGATCCCTACCTTGCATGTTGTGTTCTGGATATGTGCCATGGCGCCTGGTGAGCTGTAAATCATTTCATGTAGAAAATTCATTCAATGAAGAATTCTGATTGAACTTCTCCATAGATGAAAACTTTCACTTGTATTTTAGTAAATACATGCTGTGAACCTGCACGTAAGCATCCCAGCTTTGATTTTGTCTAAACGGTCATGAATAAGAAAGTACGATTATAGATTCAAATCCAACGGGTATCAAAATGTAAAAGGATATGAAAGAAAGGAAGGGCGACATGAATTTGAACATGTAGCTGGTCGTGGAACCGGCTACATGAATCCTTTTTTTCCATTGTGTCCTATTAAAAGTCAAATTCTCGTTTAAATCTAATAAAGAAAGATCATTTCTAATATTTTCTGACCAAGTCTTTTTAGGTCTACCTCTACCTTTCTTAACATAAGTCAAATCTAACACATCTACTTTTCTAACTGGGTCATCGATCGGAAGGCCGACGATGAAAAAAATATAAAGCTATTAAGAAATAGGAGCCACAATGCATGCCAATGTGTACAAGGCTTCCGGTCATGGAGCTATTAAGATGGAGGTTGATGTATGCAGTCCAACTCATGGATTGTAAATGTTATTTCCAAGGTACATAAGAGCGAGTCAGTTGTTAATTAGAATTAAAAATATGCGCATACGATTTTAAATGGTAAAATTATAGGCATATAACGTTTGTCTATAAAACAAATACGCACCAAATGTTTTTCTTAGTTGCTTGTGCCAATCAATATTCCAATTGCATTTAACAAAGACAATGTCAGCTTTCAACTTTCCATATCAGCCTTGCCTCCATGTTGAGCAAATTGAAAAGATTCAGGAATTCAATTCTCTTTTTCTCTTTACCAAAAGCAAAAAAAATTCCTATTTCCAAAGAAGCTAAGATGGTCCATATCATAAGGTTACGTCCCCTAAATAAAAGGAAATTTCATCCTAAGTGCCCATTAAGAATAGTATAAATAGAAGGCTTAAGAGAAAGACAAAGAAGCAAGAGGTGAGTAGTCAGAAATTGTACAAGAAGAAAGCCAAGAGAGTCAGTTCAACATGAGCCAAGGTGTAGCAAATGCAGAGAAAATTCACCATGGCCCTCACTGGAATGGGGAACACAATGTTAGCATCAGTACAGTGAATAAACTTTTGCTGATTATTTTGTAGTTTATTCTTTATCAAGTTTGCAGAATTAATAATCTAACCATACATGTTCAGGAAGAATTCTTCAAAATGGATAAGAAAGAAATTCATATCTCCTCAAGAGCCATGAGAATCACATGGGGGAACGATTGCAGATTCTGGCAGTGGACTAATTTATCAAAAGATGAATCATGGTACATTTGTTTTTTATAATTACTTGTATTGCTGCAATGCATTGGACTAACAAAATTTTACAATCATCCAAGCTTTGGCTTAGGAGCAGAGCTAATTCAGGTAAATTGGATAGAGGTGGTCAGCTTGCTTGACTTGGAAAAAATTCGCCTAGATCCTATGAAGAACTATGAAGTGATCTACATAGTAAAGTTCAAGGTTGATGCATTTGGCTGGCATTCTTGCCCTATTATATTTGAAGTCTCAACCCCGGATGGGAAGAAGAGAAGAAGGAGCGAGATCTTGGACTATTACAAGAAAAATGGCCATAACTGGCAGGAGATCTACGGTGGGGAGTTCAGCTTAGCTTCTTCCAATCTAATGGGGAAAGTTGAGTTCAGTATGAAGGAGGTGAAGACTGACTGGTGGAAAGGAGGCATAGTTCTTGAAGGAATCAAAATAAGGCCCAAGGTTGCTTGATCAATTTTAGTTTAAATCATATTTCCTCATATGTTGAGGGCTATAGTTTTAGAGAACTATTAGGAGGAGATTGCATTCGGAAAGATGATGCGTACCACTACTTATGAAACGTCTCCTACATTCATTTTCTATTCACCCATGAATTCATTAATCCAAACTATGATTTGCTTTGAGCTTTGGGCTTTCACATCTACGAAATTGGTTTTATTTTTTATCAAGTCATAAAAAAGTTGCTTCTTCTATTTCTATTATTTACTGTGAGCGTATAAACTTATCCTAAATAATCAGGATAAGGGTATTTACAGCTTCTACTATTTCTAATGATTATGATGATAATGATCGTATTTTGGAGTAAAATATAGTTTTTCTATCTAAGAGTAAGTCGTAAAATTTGTTGGTAATTGAGAAAGACCCTAAAATACTCTCCCAACAATTCGTATGTGACCAATTTAGTCTCTGAATATCACATTTCTCAAATTTAATACATCAACTATACAAAATTGATCTTACTTGATCCATCAAGTAGAAATTAACATAAATTAGGATAAAAATTGATGTTAATTTAATCTATTAACTATAAAATTGATTCCAATTTAGATCATAAGGGATCATTTAGGATTTAGGATTTAGTATGTATAGTCACACGACTAAATTAGAGAAATGTGATATTTTGGGCTAAATTGACTACATACAAATAGTATGAGAACTATTTTGAATTTTATGCTTGTATATTTTGTGTGAGTTGAACATCGGTCCCTCATGGTAAATGAAAATTTCTTTGGTAGACATAGAAGAAGCAAAAATATTATGATAGAAGAGAGAAATAGACTAGTTGCATATGACCATTTTGATGTGGGCTAGAACACATATAATATGTACGTAATTAATGATAAGGGCATTCAGCATGTTAAGCTCAATGTTTAAATATGATTAATATATATATATATGTGTGTGTGTATGTGTGTGTTTTGTTAAATGTCTTACAAAGATAGAGCCAGAATTCAAAACTCCTTTTTCTAGGTAATTTTCTGTGTTTGTATAACATCATAAGATTCCCTTTGATTATCTTCATTATAAATAATGGGTCTTTTCAATACATAAAACTCTCGCCAATATGAGGATCTATTTGCCATCTTTTCATTTAAAATTTCAATTTGAACTAAAGTTTAATTAGAATAATGACATGCATGATGTGCTGATTAAATAGTTATTGTAAAATTTTAATTACATAATGTGTTATATTCAATTTTTAAAGTAATGATCTCCTCATGTTATGGTTAACTTTTAAATGTGTTTAAATTAGAATTCAAAATTGTGCCTATTGACATCCATACAAGACAACCACCTTAATTAGTGCCATAACCCTAATCTCAGAGATTTTGTAGGGGGAAGACTCATATACACTATTAAAAAATAAATAAAAGACAGCATATACACTATAGCAAATTTGCATTTTATTAAAATTAAATTATTTTTGTTAGACTACATAAATACTTCGCAAGGCATAATTAATGCAAGGAAATCCTTTTTGTTGTACTTTTATTTACTACTTCCTGTTAAATAAGCGTTGGGAAGTGAAACACGCAGCGAACAAAAACAAGAAAAAGAAAATGCAACAAAAATAAAGAACACTTGAATTTAACGTGAAAAAACCTGAAACTAAAAAAAAAAATCACATAGCCAAACCACACGAATAAATTTATTATGAAAATTTGGGAGAAATAATACATATCTCTCTTCTCTCTCTCTCTCTCTCTCTCTCTACTTGTCTTTCTTCACTCTTGCATCATTATCTATGAACAAACAAAGAGAAAACATATTAAAACCACCAAGGGAAGCAACCCTTAATGAAAACCTAGAAAGAAAACTGTCAGCCCATCTCGCAGTGTCATGGCACTAGATTTGGAGCACTGTGGCACTCAACTCCCTGTTTATTGTCTGCCTGACAATGCCGCAGCTCCGGGGTCTGGAGCACTGCAATGCTCCGCTCTCTAACTGTCTCCAAGAAAACTACAGAGCACAACAATGCTCGAGTACACAATATCGCAGGGTTGTACTATTATACGAAAAAAAAAATTCAGGTGCAAAGCACCCAAACCCAAGCAGGGGGAACCCCTGCAACCCCGCAGAGAGCTCAACAAACTAAATTGAGGTCCGAGACAACAGTGCAACAATAAAATAAATCAATGTTTTATATTTAACTCTTAACATAACTTTTCTTCTATAAGCCTAAAATGAAATCTACTCTACATTTATACTATTTTTGTGGGCTTCGAAAATTCATGCCCCAACCTCTCCGCAGACCCTTTTCTTTCTTTTTCTTCGGGTCGTCGAGGAGAGCTTTAACGCTTAAGTTCCGAGACAAAATTTCAGAAGGCAGATTCACTACAAAAAAATTTTGCCCTCATTTTGCAAGGACTTTATGATCTGAGTTCAGGTTTCCTATAGGCGCAAGCCCCTATATTTAATTACCCTTCCTGATAGCTAGAGTAAACTTTCAATTAAGGCTAGTCGTCAAACATATATATAATATCTGGCATATAGTAGGGTTTAGGTATTTGAACATTTAATATTTAAATTTAGAAATTCACCATCGTGCACATAAAACGGATGGTGGGGAGAGTGATGATGGACCCGATCAAGATCCCATGGTTCCGTCGTACCGGGTCATCATGACCTCTGATCTGCTTAGTTAGAGGAGGTAGTCGACTCAACCTAACAGAAGGATCCTTGTCAGCAGCCATGGGTTGCTTCAACCAAAGGTACCTCGTAGACCTAGGGTGTACACTTGTCGAAGGGGGCAAATTTGAATCCACCTTAGCTAACAGATGGCTTTATGCCTATCAATTATATCTTATTGATTCATATCTCAAGAATTTGAAGCTATTGGGGAACTTGCGTGCTCTGATCATGACTGTAATTTAATGGTACCATTTGACGGCAAAATCACCCGGTTCAACGAGTCTCCGCCATAACCGTTTACCTGTGGTGCAATTTAGCAATGAAATTATCGGTTTGGTGTCATTTGGCGGCGAAACCATCAGTTAGAGGTCATGTGCCACATTTTTATTAGCAAGAGACATTGAGAATAAATCCTAGTGATATTATTGATGGGGCATTGATTTTTGTGAGCTAAAGTAATTTTCAAATTTGTCCACCTCGACAAATTGTTGCAGAGGATTGATGGATTTTGCTTTAAGTGTTTAGTGTTTTATTTTAATTTTAAATATTTTAGATTTTTTGTGATTTTTTAGTTTTGCATTTTTATGGGAATTTGGGAGGCATTTTAAATGCTCGTGGTCTCCTCCAGTTCATATAAACATTCAACACGGCGATCATCGGGGTACTTATGGGCAATTTTATTTTATTGGTTGAACTTTGTCGACTATGCCGACTTGCCAATAGAGAATCGGGTTTATTGTCGACTTTTCCCTATATAAGTGAATTTTCTTTATTGTATATTTTTAAAGCCTAATATGATTGTATGAAACAAATATCCTAGTCGATACTGTGACCGTACATTAGCTTGATAGTTTGAGCCGTGTCGACTCATATTTATTCATATAGAAGGACCATGCTTAGACTTAAATTCATTTCTTAACCCGAGCAAAATCCTCAGACGTCACGTGTGTACACAGAACACGCTCGTTGGGCTCATGCGGGTATAAGTATTTGCATGCATTTTGAATAATGCATTTGCATAATGTATTTGCACGGTGGTTGTATGTATACAATATAATATATACATGCATCATATTTATATGTGTGTGCATGTATTGATATTTGCATGATGTATTTGGGTAATGATTTTATGTATGCAATGTAGTGGGGGCGCATGACATATATGTATATTCACACGCATTTAGATTCTTGTATGTGCGTTGACACACAAATAACGCATTTGCCTATTTGCATGTATATATATAT